AGTTTTTGTGTACTTTCAATTGTCTTGAATAAAATTAATTCAATTTTGGAAAAGTAGTATCACTCATCTATGAATCGGGTTCAGTAACAATATCTATGCAATACTTAAAACTAATTGTGGATAAAAACCCGGTGAAGAACAAGCACAAGTGAGGATTAAATTTTTATCAGTGACCTGGTTAAAATCGGACGGGGTAGACTTGCTGAAAGATGCGCAAATTTTACTGAATTGATGTTTCATGGAAGAAAGACTCCCGAAGAAATAGCAAAATGCTGGATTCACCCTACTACTTACAACAGAAAAAGTTATTAACCAATTAGTATGCTCTCATATTTTTATATAAACTGATGCCTACAAAAGTAATATGAGAACTAATAAGCAGCCCAAAGATTTAATCAGGAGGATACTGATTAAGACTGGTATTCAGATATTGGGGATTCCCCAATGTTTGCCGAATTTTATTCATGCCAATCGCGCTTTTGTAGATATTTCAGCTGTCTCATTTCTCATTTTCTTTACTGAGTTTTAATGCTAGTTCTAGGTTATAGATTCGTCGACCTCCAGAGTATTGTGGTTTACTACTATGGTTTATGTCGTTTACTGTGTGAAATTTCAAATTTCTGACATCACATTTTTCGTCGAATGCCATCTTGTAGTGAATTCTATGGCATTTTGTCCCATTTCGAAGCCAGTACCTGCTCACCAGGTTGCTATAGGTAAAAATGTCGATTATAAGAAAGATTAAGCCGCTATATTGATGCAATACCAACACGCTCTCATTCTATTATTCTTTGCGAGGATCACTCAAATAGTGGCATCCTTTTAAAGAGTTTCGAGGTATGCAGATAATACCCTCTTTTATAATTTTTGGAAAAATTTTATTTATTTCCTACTGAACTATTATAAGCAGATAATAACTTGGTTACGATAATCATAAACAGGGTCTTAACTCCCAAGGGAGTTAAGGATATAATAACTCCCAAGGGAGTTAAGGATTTCCATAACTCCCGCTTATACCTTGAATAGGTGAAATTTTGACAAAAAATAGAAATTTTGGTTTGTGGTTTATTCCTTTATAAAAATGGACAAAATACAGTAATTTCGTAGGAAATTAAATTATCTATGTACCACAGGAATTATCAGGTGTTAATACCCACGGGCAATTGGTGTCTAACTAACACAAACTTTGCCCTGGGGTATTAACACCCTCATAATTCCCTTGATACATAAATAACTATATTATCAGCCACGTTATAGTTTTTTTCTTCGTTAGTGCTTGTTCGATCTTTTAAGTTAAATGTCTGGTAGTTCTGGGTTTTTCTAGGAAGTATACAAACCTTTATAGAATTTTGTTGCTTCTTGCGATTTTAACTTTATTTCCTGAAGAACCATTATAATGTCTATTGAAAGGTTATAATAGGTCTTTCTACTTTTGGTCTTCTACAATTGTGTCGTTGGAAGAATCGCTGAACTAGTTATATTATGTGTTAATATAAAGAAAAAAAAATTCAGCATAGGCAGACATAACAACACTCAGATGTTGTTAAATCCTTATCACAAGGACAAGCTATAAAGACATTGACTTTCTAAGTTTCCAAATTTTTGAAGTGCACTTTCTTCACGCGCGTTTCATGCGAGTTACTATGTGATGAAAACATACAACGTCAGGCGTCCCTTCTATTGCCATGAAGTCGAGTTAGTGGTGAGGTGTGTTTGAACAAGTTTCACTTCAGCAGCCCGTTGTATGTTGACATCACAGTGTGGCTTTAGACCCGACCGAGGTACAGCTGATAGGATTTTCAGTGCGAGACAATTGTAAGAGAAATCCAGAGAACAAAATCGCCCTGTATACATGGCCTTCACAGATTTAGTGAAAGCATTTGGTTCGGTCAACAGAGAAGCTCCTTGGAAGATATTGGCAAAGGTTAGGTGTCCGCAAAAGTACATTCAGATGCTCCGTCTGCTGCATGATAAAACGAATGCAACCGTCCTAAGCAACGACGGACAAAAATAATCTTTTCAGGCATAGGTATAGGAGAAATATCGGCCTAGAGGTCAACTTTAACAAGACACAGATTCTGTACTAACACGCACCGCGCAGTAATCCCCAAGCCCCAAATTTAACTATAAATGACCATTCTTTGAAGAACGTAGAACACTACCCCTACTTTGGGAGTCATGTGTCAGCGAATGCAACTTATGCAACCATTGACGCTAAAATCCAACATCGTTTGAAGTGTGCTAACGCAGCGTTCGGTCACAGGTTCGGACGACTTCTAGAGAGAGTCTTCAATAACCACGACATCAGTGCTGAGGCTAAGACCAAACTTAGCGTCTACAATGCAGTTGTAATACCAATATTTAAATAAGACTGCGAAACATGGACCACCTACAGAAGACATGAAAAGCCTAGAAAAATATCACCAGAGATGCCTAAGAAGGATCCTACGGATTAAATGGCAAGACCGACGAATAAAAATTAGTGTTTTAGAGGAGGCGAAAACAACTAGCATGGAGGCCCTCATCATTAAGCTCCAACTTTGCTGGACAGGTCATCTCGCCCGCATGCCCGAAACACGTCGTCTTCCACGACAGATTCTCTACAGTCAACTGAAAAAGGAAAATCAAGGAGGTCAACGAAAACCCTGCATAGATATTCTAAAGGACCGATACCAGCAGCTGAGAAGCAACGGAAAAAGATAGGCTCCCATAGCTTCGAGTAGTTCACGACGGACCACAAACTTTTGAAGAACAGCGACGCAGACACGAGACGGAAAAGAGGGACCGCAGGGAGGAGCTAGGGAATGGAGGAAGAGACAATGCTGTCAGAGGCTGGGTGTGCCAAGACTGTGGAATAGTGTGCGGCTCCAGAATTAGATTATATAGCCATCAGAAAACGCACAATCGACGACAACAAGAATGGAAGAGAAGATAATAATTATACTCGGTATCGAGTGATCGCTTATGGTGAATGGCTCTTCTTACTGTTGGCCTTCCACACTCCATTCCTATCTTGCTCTAGGTAACTTTTTTCATTCCAGCCTCATTGTGTTATCTCATATTCCTAATTTTTTCCTCATTTAAAAAATTGCTGAGTGAATCATATATGTGTGGTTATAAAACATATTTGTCAGCATGGGAAGCCATCATCAACGCTCGTGTTGGCAACTTAGATGTTGTTGAATCTTACAACGCAAGCTATAGAGACATTGACTTTTGAGTTTCTGATTTTTTTTTTTTTATCACATATCAGACTGAATCATCAGGAGTTCTGGCACGATCACTTGATATTTTCCTTGCTTAAACCGATACCCATAATAATTTTTTAACATCCGATTCTGGCTTACTCTAGAGTCAATAGTTTAGCTATCCAGCTTTTGTATTGTTAACTCGTTACTGACGCGTAATTGCAGAGCGATTTTTATCTTTTTACGTTGTTTGAAGGTTCGCCAAAAGATTCCAATAAATCCACTTACAGCGCTTGTTTATCTTTTATTGCAGGCCAGATTCCTTTTCCTGTAGTTTTATTATTTCTTTTTTTTTCCGTGCCATCAGGGGCGTTAATTGAATCCGATGAAATTGGAGAGCTTTCTCGCGACGACGTTATAACAAATGATTATATTCAAATCCCTTCGCCTGTTTAAATTAAAAACACCGTTAATGAAATCTTACAGGTATCGAGTTCGCGAGTAATTATTGTTGTTCGGAATTTAATTATAAACTTTTTGGAGGATTCTAGCAGAATACTTTTCAAAAAAGTTTTAGCTTCAAGTAAATCAATAACTTTTGAATTTTAAGGGCCAGTATTTCAATGTTACCTTAAAATCAAGACTTACCTAAGGTACTCTTAACGTCAAGGTGAACTTGAATTCAGTTCATTCAGGTGGCTTAAGATCCACCATCCACCTTGAATTAAGGGAACTTTGATATAAGGTGAAACTTGTATTAAAGACTTAATCTAAGGACTGAATATTATTCTGTACCTTAAGGTGACTTTGAAATACCGGCCCTAAGTCTCACTTTAATTTAATAGATACCTACCACCAAAATAAACAATAAAGTCCTTTTTTCAGGACCAACCCCTGATGCGTGACTATTTCAAATTAATTTCCGCAAATTTGAGTCGCGCCATTGCGTGATATTCTAACTTTTTATTCTATTCCGGGAAATCGAATCGTGTCTTATTCGAATCGAGAATAAACCACGAACGAGCATAGATATACCGCATACACGTGTATATTTACAAAGAGGACATATTTGTTTATTCTGTACCCTATGCTAATGTAGTTAGGATATTGTTTTGGTGTAGCTTGTGCTTCATGCAGATATGGGTGAATTTACATTTTGAATTCTTTGCTGGTTTAAACTTTATATGAAATTGATACATTTCTTCTTTAGTGCAAATGTGTTATAGGAATTTTAAATTTAATTTGAAAACCGCAAGAGATGTGTTAAAGAATTTCATTTGACCTTTAGCGTTAAAAATAGTAACGTAATTTTTAATTTTATTCAAGTAATTTTCTGAAAGTCACCCTAATTTGGTTTATTTCTTTTTGCTGGTTTTAGTGCCTCAATTCCCTTAAGCCTAGTTTTCGAAATAAAAATAAAACTCCTCCATATTACCTAAATGTCTCATTTTTTTGAAATTTTATTCCCTCAAAAATCCCGCTTTCTACAGGGACAAAACAGACACGAAATTAATATTTATTAAGATACACTAGAGCTTTTAAGAATCCGAGAAAGTGTTTTCTTTTATTTGCCGATTTTGCTGGTTTTCCCCCTTCAAATGAGATCCAAGTTAAGCAGAGGGACGAAGTAATAAGTAAGTAAATAAAAACGGATCCCCTGAAATGATATAAGATTTTTATTTTGTATATTTGTCAGAATTTGAAAAGTCTCAGTGGAGTTTTTCGCGTCAAAGGAATTGCGTGTATGTTTTAGGGAATTATTAGCCTTTGAGAGTTTTTTTTTTTTTCGCACTTGAAGAGTAGGTAACTTACCTTGTGTGCAAAAGGTTTTGAGTGACGGAACAGCAAATTCTGAAACAAATAAAAATTATAGGTAAGTTAGAATTCTGTTACTGATGTGAAAAAATTGTTTTGAATTATGTAGGTAATTCACATATCCTTCCTTAAAATAGCGAAAAAAAAATTGAAATTTTACGAGACATTTGCTTTCATACATCTATGTATTGAATCTTCTTTTAAATTTGTTGCAAATACGAAAACCTCAATGGACAGCGACTATGTAATGGAAAATGTAAACATCACCCCAGCGTCACTTATTTCTCTATCGATAAAGAAAGTTGTTTTTGTTAATGGGCTGAGTAGTCCCGTAAATAAATAAATAATAAAGTTCAAGATTTTCATACCGCGCTTGCTGACGGTAACTATACAAAAGTTATATGGTTTTCTTCTGCAATCTTGACCCATGAATTTGAATTCTATCTATAGTATAGTCGCGATGAACTTCAGGCTCTGAGTTCATGGAATATGTACTCTTCAAACAAGTACCAACATCTTTCATTATGACTCTTCTAGAGGCGAGGCTGCTCTGCTGGGTCTAGTTAACTTCCAAAAAAGCGTTATTTGAATATTGTACTACACTTTATTTTTTTCCAAGATAGATTTTGACATTGTCAACTTTGAAACATAAACAATGCCGCTAATGCCACTTATTGGCCGCTATTGTAAAACTGATGTCAACCTGCAGAAACACCTCATTTTGCGACCAATCAGGGTCAAGCGTTATTGTTTATGTTTCAAAGTTTTCAATGTCAAAATCTATCTTGGAAAAAAACAAAGTATACAAACGTCACTTTTGCCCTAATTTATTTTTTCTCTCAAAAAATATATATCCTTTAGGAAAAGTGAGGGAGACGTATCGATATCGTTATCCAACCAACGCCAACTTTTGTTTCACGTACACCTACCTACTCCTTATACGCAAGTATTTAGCTTTCAGTTCACGCGTTAAAGTTTTAAAAGTCTCTCGGAAAAAGTTTCCTGTTCGAGCTTCCAGGGACACATTTGGCATCTACGGTTTTAAACATTCCGTCAGTGGCGTGGCCCCCCCCTTTTTGGACTCCTGGGGGGCTCTCGGTCCAATCATGGCGGCTGACGAGTATAAGCTGCTTAGGGGGCCCCTGGGACACATTAAGGAGATTGCCATTGTGTCTATACTGCGTATCTTCAGGATTTTCACTGTTGCGGTGGGTGTATAATATATTTTTTTTTTTGGATTATGGTAATGGACAACTTGAGACGCGCAACAGATTTTTTGATGCTATAGGTATTAATCTTCTTAATTACCCCAGTTGAATCGATTAAATGTAATTTTTGCCGATACAATATTCTGAACAGTTCCGGGCTGGCAAATGTGGACATTACATAAGTTTCGAACTAGTTCGAGATGTCTGGCAACAGAAACGGCTTTATTGCTGTTAATATTTGTAGTAAAATTGGAAAAGTTTGATGAAACTGTGAATAAATATTTGATCAAGCAAAAATAAACATTAGCCTATGCTACCCCAAGCCCCTGTTACTACATGTGTATGTGCAAATCTTTATATCCGATGCAATTGTTGCTGAAGAGAAAGAAGTGCCAGAACTGAACAGTTCAAACTAGGTTCTGAAACAAAGCACTTCAGATTTCAAGCTTCTTTAACAGCTAAAATACTACTGCGTGAATGAAAGCGATTTTTTTACCTAAATAAATTTTGCAATTACCACTGATTTTCCTTATATCTCAAACACAATTCCTTTAAATCAACTCTATCTAGGTCAAGACGCAAGAAACTTGGCACTCAAATATCCTACTATTATTTTTAACCGACAATTTCATTTTTGGCATTACACCGACTCTAAACGCTCTACCCCGATAGGAGTTACGACTATTTAGAGATTTGAAAGGACTTCGGTTCGCCAGTCAGAGGAGTCTTTTGTCGACCTCAAAACGGTTAAATTGGAGACCGTTTTACGGAAGTTTTACATAATGTTACCGAATGCTGCCAAATGACCGACCACTTTACATCTTATTATACAATGACTGGAGCTCATTAATTTTCTGAAACCGGTTGTTGTTCTTTGGATTACAGAAGTTGGGATTCTGGATTTGTTTAGGTTGGGATGGGTGAAGATAAATTGTCACTGGTCACTGGTGTTTGCAGAAGTAATTGTTCAGGAAAATTTGCTTTAATATTTTGAAGCACATATAACAAATACTTATTTTGTTTATCTATGATAATATTTTTTTCGCGTGGATATAACTTGAAAATGTAGATAATATTTGTAAATTGAACGTGAGTGCCGCCATCCACCATCTATTGATTAACGCACAGACGAGAACGGAAGCTTTCTGGTATAAGGAAGGTCCAGCTACCGGGATATATGTTAATAGTAATCACAATCACTCTAGGATCACTTTAGCAAATCATAGCATATCTATTTTTATTGTGCCATTCAGCTGATGTATGGATCTTCTATGTTTATTTCATTTCTCATATTTGGATTTGATATTGTTTGTTCTGGATTATAGATTATTGGGGGTATATGGGCTGCGCTGTAGAGGTAGCACCTTTAAGTTTGAGATGGTCGCATCAAAAGTCGTAGACTGGAGATGGTTTTGAACAATTGGTCCTTCCAGGGCAGTCAGCTCTCACTTATAGTTCCACGTGCCACACCCTGGAAACTGCATCCACCTGCAGGCTAAACTATGTGAGGGTAGCCAGATATGGCGAGAAAATTAGTGTTGGGCAGCAGCAACATTGAAAGTGATTGGTCCGCGTATTATAGAAAGAAAAACGGCACCATATAACGCAGTTGAAGGCGCGACAAGGACTGTCTCAACGGTTACATTACTGCGATGAGGAAGGCAAAGGGAAACCACCTCATTACCATCCCCAGGAAAAATCATTAGCATGGCTGGAAAACCAAAAGCACAGGCCCTCAGTCCCCGGCAGGTCTTAAGTGATCAGAGAGTGCTAAGAATCTCCGGACCAGTCATCTAGAAGATTCTACCTGGAACACACAAACTATGTTTCAATTTGGTAAAACCCACAATGCCATCAAAGAGATGAAAAGAATGAACATCGAAATTTTAGGGATCAGCGAAATGAGATGCCCAACGAGGTCCATCACTATAATGGCGTGGCGCTTATAGTTAATACACAAGTACAAAAAACGGTAAGATCTTTGGTCACGGTCTCTGATAGAGTAGCACTTCTGTAGCTCAATTCCAAGCCATTTAATGTCAACATCATCCAGATATATGCACCAACGAGCGAGCACTCGGACGAAGCTGTCGCAGCCTTCTACGAACAACTCCAAATCGCCTTAAATCTCATTAAAAAGTCAGAAATTACCATTATTATGGGTGATTTTAATGCAAATATTGGTAACGGTTCGAGGGTAGACATAGTTGGTAGCTATGGATTGGGTATTGCAGACGAACGCCGTGACCGAGTATTCCAGTTTTGTCAAGAGATGGGGTTTGTTGTTTCGAACATTTTCTTTAAGCTCCTACCAAGGCGCCTGTACACTTGCCACACGCCCATACGCCAGAGAGCATAGTCAGAAACCTAATAGACTTTCTATTGATAAATCAAAGATACAGAAATTGCATTAAATCGGCAAAAACTCACTCTGGCGCAGACCTAATTTCCGATCACAATCCGCTTGCAGCAAATATTCAGTTAACTCTAAAAAAGTGTACAGTAAAGGGAAGCTGCCCTAAACCAGATCTGACAAAACTGAACAACCCAGAAATGCTAGTCGAGGTCAGAAACGAACTAAATTGTGGACTACAAAGTAAACGTTGTGGAGAATTCCGAAGCGGGGACTGTTTGGATCAAAATCAAGGAAGCTTTTGCAAACGCAAGCTTGAAATTACCGTCAAACGATGATAAGATAAAAAAAAGCCTGGATGACCGATGAAATTCTTTATTTAATGGAAGAGAGACGCTTGAAAAAAGGTCCTCCGGCATACCACCAGATGAATCGTGAAATAAAGAACAAAATTAGATTGCCCAAAGAAAATTGGCTTAACGAGCAATGTCACGAAATCGAAGTTCTGAAGACTAAGTATGACACGTATAATATGAACAAGAAAATTAATGAAGCTGCTGGTGTATACAAACCACGACAAAATGGCATTCTCTTGGACAATGAAGATAAAATAATTCTTGACGTTAACGAGAAAGTAGAACAGTAGTGCAGCTATATCAAAAACCTTTTTCATAATGAAAGATCAGACACTCCTTAACGATATAGGTACAAGTGAAGGGCTTGATATAACTAAGGAAAAGTCCAACATGCAGTCTCGTTATCAAAAAATTGAAAGCTGCAGGTCCAGATGAAATTTACTCGGAAGTCATTAAAATCTTAAAGAACGATGAGTCACTAAACGTGATTGTGAAGCTTTTTAATATGGTCTACCGATCGGGCGTCATTCCTTCCGACTGGCTTCAATCACTATTTATAACACGTCCAAAGAAGAGCACGGCAAAAAGATGTAGCGATTATCGGCTTATAAGCTTGATGAGTCACTTTCTCAAGATTTTCCTAAAGATCATCCACAAGAGAATATAGGCAGAATGCGAGTTCTTTATGGGGGAATCTCAGTTCGGTTTTCGTAACGGGTTCGGCACGAGAGAGGCGCTGTTTAGTATCCAAGTGTTGGTTTAGAGGTGCAGGGATGTCTCTGTGTCTGTTTATGCCTGTTTCATAAACTACGAAAAGGCTTTGGACGATAGAGATCTCAAAACAATTGCAAATATTTACTGGAACCAAACTGCACAAATTAGGGTAGATCAACAGATATCAAGCGAAATTCGGATTAAAAGGGGTGTCCGACAGGGTTGTATCCTTTCACCGTTACTTTTTAACATCTACTCATACTAAATATTCGAAGATACCCTGGAAAACTACCCTGTCCGTCCATTAATGGCGTTAACATAAATAACCTTAGGTACGCTGACGATACCGTTATAATCGCGGACTCGTTGGAGGATCTTCGGATTTTACTTGACCAGGTGGCAACT